GGCCACGGCAGAGGGGAACCCCCAGCTCCAGGAAAAGGATGCGCCTCCCCTCACACAGGATACAGCAGGAAGCTCCCAGGTGATTGGTGCGATGCCACCCCCCCGGGCACAAGCTAGGGACAACTGGATGCCAACTCGGCCTAGGGGAGGCAGGGCGCAGCACCCACTGCAGCTTTACCTTCCCCGCACGTGTAGCGTTTCTCCTCATACGATGTGTCGGTGAACTCCAAGAGCAGGCGGATGGCGTGGGCCAGCTGGGGTGGTGGGGCGGGGGGGGGGGGAGACAACCCTGACCCGGCGCCTGCGCGGTTCCCACGGTCCCCACCCCACCCCCGCCCGCCAACGTCCCCCGGCCCAGCACTGCCAAGCCCCCGCATCATGCTGGGGTGGTCGTTAAGCAGTCCAGCAGCCCCACAGCCCGGCCCCGACACCATGCAGCCTTCAGGCCCTCCCGGCGGGGCTTGGAGACCCCAGAGGCTGGGCAGGGGTCGGCTCCCCATACAAGGCCCCCCACCACCACGTACAGCAGCTGCTAAAGGAGACCGCCTCCGCGTCTGTCTCCCGGACCGAGCGGCTCCGACCTTGAGAGGGCACTCACCCCGCGAATATCCCAGTAACCCAGAACCATCGACGACTTGGACGACATGACGAAGACGTGTGCGAGCCTTCGAGGACCAGCGATGGACTGCGAGCGGCCGGGCCTTATACTCTGGTGGTGGGCGGGGCCAACGCGGGTTGTCTGGCTCCGCCTCCAGCCTGCCCTGCCACTCACGCGCCCACCGGGTCACACGCATGCGCGGCTTCTCTCTCGCCCCCCCTCCGTACCCCTCCCCTCCGCCCCCCTCCCCTCCGCCCCCAGTGCGCAGGCGTGATAGCTCCCGAAGTTAGTTGAAGTACCCCGTTTCCCCATGCGTGGGAAGTGCCCTTCAGTCATTTACGGTGCCAGTCAGGGCAGAAGATGCACCAACACTCAAAAAGTAGGGACCTTAAGTTACCTAGGGAGGTGAGATTCATGCGTAGTTTTACTGTACCGGGGCTGGGGTGGGGGGAGTGGGCAGTCCACGAGAGTTGGGCGGGACTCCAGCCACCAGGGAATAGCTAGCTGACTATGCCATCTTTCGCTCCAGAATTGGGGAGTGAAAAGAGCCACGGAAGGATGGCATAATGATAAGAAAGCCATAAATTGCTTGAGCCCATAAAACTGAGTTAGAGAGTGATCCAGGAGTGAGGCATCACCTAAGCGCTCCGGCCGAGAGAGGCTGTTAATGGGAAGGCCTCAAGGCCAAGGTGGGCCCTGAGCAAGGCCACTGAGGCGTTGGCAGTGCTGCAAAGGACATTCCCGGCAGGAGGAGGATAGAGCAGATGCTGGAAGAGGAGAAATACAAGTGTGTAGGAGGAACAGCAAGTACTGTTGGGCTAGGCTTGTTTATGAAGTTGTGCTGGGCCCTAGGGAGAGACACAGTGGGAAAAGCATGTGGAGGGCAGGTTGCATAAGAAGGCCTTGACTTGCAAAGAGGGGAGTTCGGGCATTTTTTTCTCTGGTCTGTGAGTAGTGTCTAGATCACTGTGTCCAATAGAAATGTAATCCCAAGCTATGGGTGTGATTCAAAATGTTTTGTTTCTAGTAAAAAGAAACAGGTGAATTAATAATAATTTTATTTAGTTTATCATATCCCAAAATACTATAATTTCAGAGTGTAACTAATATCAAAATGATTGAGATATTTCCTACTGCTTGTTTTTGTATTGTCTTCAAAATGCAGTGTGTATTGTATACTTAGAAAACTAGGCACATGCTGCAGATTTGGATGTTTTGCTGAGGTGAGTGATGTTGTCAGGTTCTCCTTTAGGGAAGCTAGCTTCTTTGTGTAGAGTAGATTAGGGAAGGGAAAATAACTGCCATTTTTCATTTTCTGATTCATTCGGCTATCCAGCAGTCCTATTAGGGCCAGGCACTGTGTTAGGTGCTGGGGATACAGAACTGAAATCAGCAAACGCCCCTGCCCTCAGGAAACATATTCTAATGAAGAGAGGCAGGAATAAATGAATATAGTAACTCAGAGAATGATACACATACTGTGGAGAGAAAGAAAACAGAGAAAAGGGGTGGGGGTAGGGGGAAAAATTAAAAAAAAAAACAAGAAAACAGAGAAGAGGGATCTTTCTGTCCATTCTTTTTTTATGTTTTCATCATCTTTTAATCTTCTTAATGAATTCTGTGTCTCTTTATAGTTTATTTATTTTTTTGCTTATTATGTTAAGAATAAAAAAAGAAAAATAAAGTGAAACATAGGAAAACATAACAACACCAATATAAGACAAACAGATATAGAAAGAAAATCAGAGAAGTGGGTTTATGGGGGTGGGAGAGCCCCTAGAAGGAAGGAGATTTGTGTTTTTAAAGAATGTGTGCATGGGAGATCTCACTGAGATAATAACCTCTAAGCAAAGACCTGAAGCAGGCGCAGAATCCAGCATTGTGCTGCAGAGGCCATGTGTGCAGGAGGCAGGGAGCACGCCACACAGAGGGAACGTAAGTACAGGAAGCTATGGCTGTACAGAGGGCATTTAAAACCAGGTGAGGTCAACATAGAAGTAAGAGCAGCAGAGAAGAAATAAGGTCTACAGCTTTAGAGTGTTCTGGCACAACGTTTAGAAGTTTGGGGATGAGGAAGAACCAGGAAAGGTGTCTGAAAAAAGAATGGCCAGTGTGCTGGTGTGTTGGGAGGAAGATCAGGTGCCTGAAAACCAAGTGAAGACATTCGAAGGTGGGAGTGAGCAAGTACATCAAATGTGGCTGATAGGTCCAGTGAGATGAAACCTGAGAATTAGCAGTTAGCTTTACCATCATGGGCATGATAGTGACCTTGATAGAGCAAGAGGTCTGTAGGAGGCCCTAACAGTCCTGTGAAGAACTGTTCAGTGTTTATGGAGAGCCCATGAGAATGGAAAATGGGTACAGATTTATAACAGTGTTACCACTGGGCAGGAGAGATAGGATTTGTGAGCTGACTTTGGAGGAGTGGAGAGGGGAGACCAGAGCTGCTCTGCCCAGTCTCCATAGCACAGCTCAGTATGGCTCCCATCCCCTTCTCCTCTAGCCTGAGTGTGGGAAATCACATTGCCATTAGTTCAACTGAAACAAACTTGGAGTTTCTTAAAAAGGACACTTTGCTAAAAAGAAGAAAGAAAAAAAGTGCAAACATGGGGACACATGAATTTATAATGCTTAGTTTCTCCTTCCAAGATAACAAAAAGCCAGTCACAAGTTAACTTGAGGTATATACTTATTGAGTACTTATGACCTGTCTGGTAATAGACTACGTATTTCATATGTTAGCTAAATTATTAAACTTAACAACTTTGTGAAGTAGGCATAATACCCATTTTATGGAAAAAGGAACTGAAGCCTGGAATGGTTGGGTGAGTCACTCAAGTTCTCATGAGTGGTCTTGGGTTCTGATCAAGCTCTACTACTTCAGCTGGGCTAATTCTTCTGTGCTTGGCCATCCTGACAGCCTCTCACCTTACTTTACCTCACCTCAGTCTTTTCTGTGAAGTCTGAGGAACACTGGGATGAATCACTTTTTTTTTTTTTTTCTTTTTGGTGCGTAAGGTTTTCCTGCTTCTAGGTCCTCTTCAGTTCTGAGAGGCCCAGTGGGTAATGGGCCTCCCTCCATTCTGAGAAATTTACATTTCTGGTTATATTTACCCTTGTCAACTCAGACCATAAAGGTCTCACTTTTTTCTTTTGTGAGGAAAATTTTTTGCTTTCTTAGTCTGTGCTCCCAGCTCAAGAGATGATTTTCTGAGGCCAGGGAGCCAAGAATGACAGAGAAGTTCTAAAAATAGCTCATTGAGTTCCACACAATGTTAGGGTCATTACAAATTCAGCTAAGAGAGACACTTAAGGGAACTTCTTAAGAACCCTCAAGGGCCCTTGAATCCCTAAGTACATCATACTTTATCTGTAGATTAAATCAATAAAAGTATGGCTTGGTCTTATGTGGAGACAGGAGTTTATTCCACAACAGTTTTGAGATAAAGGTTGACTACTTCTGCTAAAAGACATAGAAGCCACAGACGGTCCAAAGTCTTCACTTAATCTTAGAGATAACAGGGACCTGGAGAGTGGAATGACTTGCTACAGGTAACACAGCTGACTAGGAGACTTCCATCTTCCTGTGCAATGCCACTGAAGAAACAAGCTGGAAGGGAACTCAAGGTTGGCTCACCTAACAGCAGGAGACAAAAAAAAAAAAAAGAGGAAGTTCCCAAGTAGGGTAGGCCTGGTGCGCTGGACTGGCTTGTTAATGCTCTTCTGGCCCTTTGGCCAGTGTGACAATCAAGCTGTGAGCTGCTCTCTTTGCTGCTGTGAAGTGCTGTGCCCTCAGCTGTGCTGGGTGCCTTGAGCTATACTGTAAGACATGTACAGGGAAGGACAGAGGGATAAGCATAGCTCCATTTTGGAGTTTGTTTAGAAAGAGAATAGGGAGAGCATGGACAGTAATTATCCAGTGCTGATTCTCTGCACCAGGTTGCAGTGTGAATTGCCTTTCCCAATCAGTCTGGCATGTGATGGATGAACTGTTACTACTGTTTCATGCCCAGTGTCCCAGCCCTTCCTTCCCCCTACCTTTGGCTCCCATCAGGCCCAGGAAGAAGCTGCAAGGGACACACATGACAGGCTTGAAGGTTCTTTTTATTGGAGAGAAGAGGGACTGAACTGACCCCTGACAAGCCGAGGCATAAGTGTGCCAGGAGTAGGAAAGGGGCAAAATAAATAGGTAGTAACCAGCGAGGGCTCCCAGCACAGCAAGAAGTGAAGTGTACCATTTGCCACAACATCTGGCCTGTTCTTCCTCAGCTGTGTGAGTGGGGGTGGGTGGTTTGTCACAAACTGGGGAGCTGGAAGAGGAATTCCCAGGGCTCTGAAGGACACCAAATGCTCCATCTTGCATATGAGAGGTCCTTGGACTTGGAGGCATCTGAGCCGGTGCCTAAGGGCTTATCTGAGAGAAGAAATGGATTCAGACAGGGCTGGTGCCAGCTGAGGGAGCCCCAGAACTCATGCCTCTATTAAGATTGGAGCTTCAAGGCATACCAGAATACCTGAAGCCAAATCCCTGGAGAAATATTTTGTGCCCAGCACTGCCACACTCAGTTCCACACGGGGCTGGGGCCACTGGCTTATCCTCCCAACAATCTTACTCTCACCACGGGAGGACCAGCCTCTTCCAGTGGCAGTCAGGACCCCAGGGCATCCTCACCCCCAGTGTCCTTCTGACAGCCTCCAGCCGGGCCAAGATCCGTGGGGCTTCATGTGGACATAGCATTTGTAGCTCCCCAGGTCTCATGCGAAGTAACTGGCTCCCTAACAAGGACCCGAGGGTCCTCACCGTGCTGTGAACAAAAGCAGCAATAGGGTAAAAGGATGCTGAGCCTGAGCACTGGGTAGAGAAGAGACTGTTTGGGCTTGGAAATTGGAGTTCCAGAAATATTTGTGGAATGAGGTATTTGAAAGTGCAGGAGTTCAGCCAATTTCAGGATTTGAAGGAAGAAGTGCTTCTAAAGACAATGTTCTGGAAGGGAGGGGTGACTGAGCTGGCAGCCAAGGTTATTTCTAATTTCACTACCCTGACCCTTCCTCCCTTCACCCTGGCAGGGGTTTTCCAGTTGATGCCCTACCCTAGGCTTAGGGCAACCCCCTTCTCTGTCCTGTCATTCGGTAGAGACAGCCCGGGATGCAGTTGTCATGTGCAATGGAGGCCAGAACTCACGTTCTACGGTTATCATATGACCCTTTTACAAGGCTCTCCCTCCACACCCCAGGGGCCTGGGCACTCACAGAGTGGAGAAGTTCTCTGCCTGCAGCCATGCTGTGACCTCCTCAGGTTTTGAGCTAAGTCGAAGCATTGGCGCCTAGAATGGGGGATGGGGTCAGAGGCCATCTTATTTCATAGCCATGCATAGCTCACCACATTGGGTCCTTTCTCTGGGCTCCCATCAAATCACTTATCTCACCCCCCCAGTTTTCTGGCCTGGCAGGCATCCTGACTTGTTCCCTGTTCTAGCCCTATCAGTCCACTTGGCACCCTGTGAAGATGCAATGATACTGATTACGTTGAACCAGGACTACCTCTTCCACTTGTCATCTAATCCTGTCTGCCCCACTCTGACTTAGGACTTAGAGCTTCTGGATAGCCTTGGTTAGGTAGTACCCGAGGAGGCAACTGGCCCTGGCTCCCAGGGGCCCTGGACTGCAGGGGCTCCAGGATGTTGCTGGGAATGTAGCCACTCTTTCCTGCCTCGTTCTTCACCAGCCACCACCGCTTGCTGTGGTCCAGCACCTGCCAAGAGTCATCACCTCAGTCACAAGAGGCTTCATCCTCCAAGTCTCCTCTGCCCCACAAGGCTTTGTCCCTCCCAACCAATTCCAGCTTTCCTTCTCAGTCACCCACTCTGCAGCCCCATAGCCAGATCACCAGGTTAACTGTAGCTCCCACCAACCACCATGCCTTTTCTAGCTTCAAACCCAGGCCTCACCTCCAGCACCTCTCCCTGGATCACAGTCAGTTCCTGTGGGTTCCTTGCTTCAAACTCATACAGCACTTGCATTTTTAGAATTGGCTCAGCAGACTTGGGACTGGAGGGTTGGAAGTTGGGGTCCCCAGGCTGAGGGCTGTAGTTGTTTGTCTCCTCTTGAGCAAAGCGTGAGGTGCTTCCTAACCTAGGGCTTCTGCCATGAGAGAGAGTCAGGATTGCTGTAGAAGGGGGCTCAGAAACTGTGCTCCTGTCTCAGCCCTAAGGACTCCAGATAACTCCTGGCTTCAATCTGGTGGTGACTTTTAGGTTCCTGTAGAATTTGATGGTGGCAGCCTGAGGAGGGGTGGGCGGGGTGTGTGTGTGTGGGGGGAGTTTCTGCAGACAGGAGGGGTCTGAAATCTCTCTGGTCTCCGGATACATTTCCAGTCGCTGACTTTTCTACCTCTGAGCTCTGGGAAATCAGAGGCATGTGTGGGTAGTGTGATGAGAGGGAATTAGAGCCTAGGAGGTGAACAGCCGCCCTCTCACCAGGTAGCATTAGGGTATCTTTGTGTGTGTCTGAGTCTGGCTAAAAGCACAGAGAGTCTCTGAGATATAGAGATCCACAGGTCCAAAGTCTTTGTCCCCCACCCCATGATGGTGCAGTCCCACTAAGCTCAAGGCTTACCTGAGGGACACAGAGTCCTGGTGTCTTAAGGGTGCCTGTAAAGGGCAGAAACAGTGAGTAAGAGCTGTATGGCCACTAGGGAGTGGGTAATCAGACCACAGGCCTACACAGTCACCTCCTGTCTCCTTCCCACAGTGATGGACCCACATAAAACTACCAGCCACTTAGCTGCCATGGGACAGAGATTTGGACTGGAAGAGCTCTGTGTTGAGCATCCCTTACCGGAGAGGAGGGCTGCCAGCCATCATAGAATATGGGTTGGTAGGGCGGGGGCTCGGTGCCTGTCCAGTTGTCCCTGGGGAGAGAACAAAGCTAAGTCCATGCCCCTGTGTGCCAGGCTGTGGGATGTGGAAAGGGAATAGCCAAGAAGGCCCAGGCTTAGGGGTCTTCTGGATAATGGGGTCACTGCCTGTGTGCCTAGATCACGCCAACAAAGAAGCAAACAGTTAAGCATGAACAGGTCCTCTGGTGCAGGTGTCTGTGGGCCTGCCTCACTCTGTCCTCAAAGTACAGCTGTAAGACCTCCTTGGAACACAGTGGACACTTTATCACCATCACTGGGGCTTAGGATTAAAAGTGGTGGGACCTGGAATGTTGGGCCAAAGAGCTCTTTGGAGTGTTTTTCTAACCTGTTTGTAGTGCAACTAGTCTTCGTCTTTCTAGCTGAATAATGTGTGGAACTCTGTCTTATAGGACCCATCACAATGGGGCTGCTCTGGCTGATGCCAGGATGGGACTAGTACTTGCCTTGCAGGGTCCCCTCACCCCCTTGTGATTTCCAGGTTTGCTCTGCTTGGATAGCTTCTACCTGCCCCTAGGGGAATATCCCCTCACCTCCTGGGGGAAGTTTCTTCCTGCTTCATTGGGGCAGAAGCAAATATTCACTCTGAACATGGTCCACCCCTGGATTATTGCTCCTGTCACGCTCTGTTGAACACAATTCATGCATGTCTGGTTCTTACTATATTGAACTCTTTAGAGGCTGTTTCACTAGTACTGTGGCTAGCACCTAGGCAGCTGCTAATGAATGTTTATTCACAAGGAATGGACAAACTATTTCCTCTTCCAAATCTTCTTCATTCTTTCTCTTTGCCCTGGAAATCGATCAATGCTTCCTTGACTGGTTTTTTAATCCTGTTAAGCTGATGTCCTATGACATTCTTACCATATTTCCTGAGAATGTCCTTGTGTGCCAGGCCTATGCTTTCTCACCTCTGCTTCTTTCATTATTCCTGTCACCTGAGTTTTACTTCTGACACTGCTTTGTTCAGACTAGTTCATTTAAAATCCTGATAATCTCCTGATAGCAAAATGCAATGGCCCTGCATGTTCTCTACCTGCTGAGTTACCACAGCATTCAGTGTTACTTACAGCTTTGGTTTATTTTGTCTATAATCCAAATCATCTAAATATAGTTTGCCAGAAACTCTAGTCTTTTGAGGGCTTTTACATCTCTCTTGTTATTCTAGTGTTACATTAATTTATCACTTCTGGTTATTTTAAGAAATTAGAAAACATCTAAGGGCATATCTGACTTAATATTATTTAGTAAATGTATTTCATTTTATGAATATTAGAGTTGATTTGCTTGTTTGTGGGTATTTTTTTGAAATTGTACCTGCTGATTCATTTTCTAATGTTTAAATTCTTAAAGTAAAGCTGGGTTATTATTATTATTATTATTATTTTGGTGGTACTGGAGTTTGAACTCAGGGCTTTGTACTTGGTAGGCCAAGGCTGGGATTTTTATTTTTGTCTTTTTTGTGGTACTGGGATTTGAACTCAGAGCTTTTGCATTGGAAAGCAGGTGCTCTACCACTTGAGCCACATGTTCAGTCCTTGAGGCTGGGTTTTGAAACATAAAATGTAGCTACTCAATGTTAAAGTAGGTGAATAAAAGTCTTTGAGGACTTTTTGTTTGAATCCATTGCAGAAGCTCTGCTTTTCTCTCTTGCTAGTGGTAGACAGAAATCAGGGCTATCCCCATACACAATGTGATCCCACCATAACATGGGAGCCAGTGGGTTCCAAGACTGGCTTAAACAGTGTTCTGAACAACTGAACACTGTTATTAGATGTCCAGAATCCATAAATTATTGCATTTTGTGATTAAATCAAGAGAGTACATAGAAACAAATCATTTGGGTTATAAATGAAACAAGTGTCCATTGATGAATAAGTGAATAAAGTGTGGCACATCTATACTGTGGAATATTAATCAGTCATAAAAAGGAAGGAAATTCTGACACGTGCTACAACATGGATAAACCTTGAGGATATACTGAGTGAAATAAGCCAGCCACAAAAGCACAAATAGTGTCTGATTCCATGCATATGAGTTACCCAGAACAGACAAATTTTAGAGGCAGAAAGTAGAATAGAGGTAACCAGGGGCTGGTGAGAAGGGGGAGATGGATGGGGAGTTATTGTTCAATGGGTACAGATTTTCTGTTTGGGATGATGGAATACAGAATGGCTGTTGGGGCTGGTGGAGTAGCTCAAGTGGTAGAGTACCTGCCCCGCAAGCGTGAGACCCTGAGTTCAAATTCTAGTACCACCAAAACAGAAAAAAAGCACATCCATAATGGTTGTTGGTTACAAAACGCTAATGTACTTATTCTACTAACCATATACTTTCAATGGTAAATCTTTGTTATGTGTGTTCTCTCGCCACAATAAATAGGTTGTTCGGAGCTAACTCATGTTTTTAAGCAAACTGGACAAAAACTCCTTTAAATGGGACTAAACGAGAAAAAACTGGCTTCTTTCCCAATCTTGCTAATACCCCCTTCTCCCTTGGTTTTCCTCCCTCAGCATCTTTGGTTCTCCTTCCAGTTCTCTGGGAATTCTTTTAGTCTTAACTGTTTTTCCTTTCCCCACCTCCATGTAACAGTTTTCCAAGGCCCCAGCCTCTTCTCTCACGGAACAGAACAAACTGTGAATGCTGGGCTTTCCACTTGAGCACTCGTGTCACACCATGTTCCTGTGACACTGTTTCACCACGTGGCCAGGCTGGACCTCTCATCTGTGGGCTGTTCCCCTCCTCCTTCAGCTCAGCTTTCCAAGTGAGATTCATTCATGCCCACTTCCCATTAGTTTGGCCTCCTTTCCTGCTGCCTACTGCACATATACACCAACTTGGGTTTCTCTCAGTCTCTCTCTCTCTCTCTCTCTCTAATCAGTTACAGAATGTAACTTATTGATGTTACTTGCAGCACCTCCTATGTCAGTAATTTTTAATTCTGGGCTGGATTGAAACAAAGTTTTCACTTGGTCCTTAACAAAAATGAGAAGATATTTTAGCAGAGGGTTGGCATTTCTTCTTTCTTTGGAAGAATTGTTCTTTTTTCTGACACAATGCCTTTCCTTCAGCAGTGGGTAATAAGGATAAAAGGTTTTTTGTTTTGTTTTTAACAGATCACATTTAGCTTAATAGAAAGTTGGGAGCTCCAAGTAGTATCCCCCAAATTGTGTTGAAATGTTTCTGGTTTGTGACAGCATAATGCCTGGCTACCTCTCCCCCGCACCCCTCATCTTCACTCACTGGCTGGTGGTCCAGGCCATGCCAAGCCCCTTCCAGAAGTTATTCTCAGATGGGCTTAGACAGGACTGCAGCAGGTCAATGGCTTTGCGGGTGAGCAAGGGTGAGATTACTTGGGCTGCCAGGCCAGTGTCGGGGCACTGGGACAGGATCTGGGGGAGACAAGAAAGGTATCAGGAGGTCTAGGCCATCTCTGCAATGTTGCCTTCCTCTCCCTCACAGCCCTGATATCCTCAGCTCTGACACCACCCTATCCACCTGCTGAGCATGCTGTGCACACCAGGGATGGTGTCCGGGCATCAAGGAGGAGGGTGTGTTGGGGCAGGCTCCACAGTCTCTATCTGTCCCTGTGATCCCCTGCTTCCTCCCCTAGCCTCCTCCTCTGCCCTCCACCACCTTTTTTTCCTTCTGCCATGTTGGGGATGGAATCCAAGGTCTTGTGTATGCTGGGCAAACACTCTACTACAGAGTACACACCCAGCCCTCCTGGTCTTTCTTGACTTTGCTTGTCCCTTTTTGCCACCCTGTCCTTCCCCACTCACGTAGTTCAGAGTTTGGAAGATGATGTGTATGAACTCAGGGGCACTTGTCTCCTGTAACCTGATGGCCAGATTCCCCTGGGGACAGAGGGCAATGTCTATCACCACCCTTCAACCCACACCAACTTCACCAGGGCCCCAGTCCCCCAGAAGTGTTTTGCATCTTCAAAAAATCCCAAGGGGTGGGGAGAAACTGGAGAAGTGAAAGGCTTGAGATGGCTGAGGTCAGAGAGCAGAGGGTGGAGGGTGGGGAAGAGGGATTGGGAATTGGTGGGGACCACAGACCAGGAGGTTGAAGCTGAGCTTGATCTTCTGGAAGCAGTCAATGTACTGTGCCTCTGTGATCCCTGTTGGAGAGGGGCAAAGTGGTGGGGGAGGTTGGTCCCAGGTCATCCAGAGACACTCCTGCTCCTCTGCCCCTCAGAACTCACCCCCCTGAGCCTTGTTCTTTTTTTTCCCAAGCCTTCTCTTCTTCTTATGGCTGGTCTTTGCCTGGACATCCTTCAGCTTTCCTGTGAACAGCTCGATGTCCCCTAGGACATGGTTCAGCATATCCTGGGCCCCAAACAACCCACAGGCAGTTAGGCTGACCCTGGAATTCCCAACCCTGCCAGCTGACCTCTCCCAACCCCCCACAAGCCCCATCCTCAATCCCAGCCTGGGGTCCGACCAAGCCTGCCCTGTCCACCCTGGGGAGGACCCTGGCCTCCTGTTGGGGTGTCCTCCATTCTTCCAAGCCCCAGAAGTCTTGATAAGTTCAGGACCATCTGTAGTACCTCATCCCTCTCTGGGTTCTCAGGGGATGAGGACAGTCTTCGAGGAGGCGGAGTGAAGGCACTTTGTTCTTGGGAACTGTGATAGCGTACCAGGGGCCTTGGGGATGGCGGGAGGCCTGCAATGTAGGGAATCAAGGTCCTAGAACTTCTTCGACTTTGAATTAAGCCTTCTCCACTTGCCCTCATGCCCCCAAACGTACTGTGCTCTGAGGTTCTCTTGTAGGATTGTTCTGGAGAGGACCCCTGCTCCACAGGGGGTACCTGATTTATAGGGAGTGGCCTTTCTAGAGAAGTTTCCCTCCATCTCTTCTGGCCTGGATGATGGCCTCCAAATTGAGGTCTGCTGAGGACATGGCGAGGGACACATGTTTGCTAAAGCTTTGAGACAGAAGCCCTGCCCACACCTCTGTGCAAGGATCCATGCACACCGCACCTCTCTCTAGGAGCCCCACCCCTGCTCCTTGGTCTCCTTTGACTTCACTCTGTCTCATCTGTCTGGTACCCAGGCCCTCCTGTGTCTATAGCAGTCTTTAAGGATAGTCACCAGTGCCTCTTGGGCCTTCCCCTGCTCATCTCTGCCCTGGCCCTTTCTCAGTTCTAGGCCCTGGTTGGTTGGACCACAGGTTTCTGAGCTTCCCAAGATGTGAGGTGAGGGTCTGGGTGGGCTGCCTACCTTTGTTCCAGCTCTTCCTCCAGGGCCTTCTGCAGGCTGGTCCTCAACTTCTCTGCCTGGAGGAAACAGCAGTCAGGCTATGTGTGTGTGTGTGTGTGGGTGTGTGTGTGTGTGATGGTCATTGGACCCCACCCTTGGCCACTCACCCCCACTTCCTGGCACTGGAAAAGCAGAGTGCTGGTGCTTGGCAGGCCAGACTCCTGCACAGTAATGGACAACACAGAGTTGTAGGAGCAGGTGTTCAGCGCCACATCCATGACCTTGATGTTGTCCAGGTGGTAAGAGTCCAGCTCCTCCTGGCCAGGCAGAAAGGTCAAGTGAGAGGCCACAGAGAGGCGGGCTTTGCTCTTGAGAGTCTCTGATAGGGTTGCCTATACCCTCTCATGGCTTGAAGTTGGGGTGTCATCCCAGCTCCTGTTCCCTGTCTCTTCCTAGGCCTAGATGAACATTGCACATGGGAAGGAATGGAGGGGTGCGTGGAAGGGCTTGGTGCGTGCTCTTCCACAGTCTGGGTTAGCCAGGGCCCAAGGCTGAGTTTGGTGAGAGGGCTGACCTTGGTCTCAATGTCCAGCAGCTGGAGCCAGCCATCTCTGACCTGCAGAATCAGGTCTTGGCTCCACACCCGGCCCTGTGCATCCAGCTCCTGAAGCTTCTGCAGGGCATCCTTGGGCTCCTGGACTCTCTGTGTCCCCAGCTTACATGTCATCAGGTGCTAAGGGGAGAGGAGGAGGATGGATGAGGAGAAGATTTGGAGCAGGGTCCCAGCTGGTGGCAGGCAGAGGAAAGGCAGCAGAGGAGGAAAGTATGTCCTTATTCCCCTTGTGGGAGAAGTCGACCTTCAAGGGCAATGTGAGGGCCAGTGTAGAAGCAGTTAGGCTAGAAAGGCACTTCCAGGTCTAAGACGGGCTACATGAGAGGTTCTAGGACTCCAAGGGAAGGACAGGGATGAGGCAGCTGACTGGTGGTACATGTGGGCTTCAGTCACCCAACAAATAACTTCAGAGGGCCTTTGCATGGGCTGCAGGACCTTCAGATTCTGTCCCTCACTTCCTCTGCTGCATTTGGGAGCTCGCCTTCCAGCCTGGTCTTTCTTCTCACTGACCCAGAATTCCTGTCCCTGTGCCATTGCTCCCACAATTCCTGGTACCAAGGTGCCTTTCCCACCTCTGCCAATCCAGTGCCTTGGGTCTCTCAGGAAGACCAAGCTCACCTTCTGATTCTTGCAGTGATCTGTAATATTCTGTCTTCACTAAAGTCCTAGCCTGATCATTTGGTGGGCTTTGTCCTTATCCACTCTCTTCTAGGGGACGCTTCTTCCCCAGCCAAACATTGCCTCTGACACCTCCTGTGGGGAGATGCAATCTGCCTCTCGCCCCTGGATCTGCCACCCCTCACCCCTGCCTGTATCCAGCTCTTCTCCCTGTGTTCACACTGCCCACAAAGAAACAGAGTACTCTTGGCCTCTGCCCACCTGACTGGGGAGTCCTGTGTCCACTACCCTGGGGTTTCCTGCTTCATCTCTATAAGAACCTGATTTGTACCCCACACACTGTGTCCCCCACTGTGCTTTCGGCAGTGCATGCTCTTCTGGCTACGCCTTTGCAGTCTGCCTTTTGCTTTCCCTGTGATGTTGGCAGCCCTTCAGGTAGCTGGATCTCAAAATGCCAGCCATCGCTTGGGCAAGGATAGAGGCTCTATTCCAGCAGCTCAGCCTGGTCTGGGAGCTCAGGCTGACTCTCCCCTCTGCGACAGAGGCCCTCTCAAGGCCTCATGAGCTGCTGCTCTTCACCTTCTTTCCTCCAGCCATGAACAATCCTGAGCAACTCCCTGGAGATGGTGTGACCGGAGGTGGGTTGGAAAACAAGTGTGCTGGTTCTAGGTGCTTTCTGACCTATCCTTCTACTTCTCCTTCCTGTCTGGGAACAGGACATCTACTCCTTCAACCTCTAGGTGGGCCTGCTCTGCCCACTCCTGACCACCCCCTCATCCTCCCCAGCACTTAGTAGATGCTCAGGTAGGCTTTAGGCTTCAGGGATTTGACCAGGCAGGGCCATGACTTTCACAGTGGAGCCATGTGTGAGGTGTCTGTGTTTGTGCAGGGGAGGGAACACATGGGAACCCTTGGCTTTAGTTGGAAACCACCTGGGGCCCAGAGGTACCAGAGGTACTCACCTCCACCCTGTGCTGCAGGAGAGTGGGCTCTGAGGTCAGGTTCTGGGAGTATTCCTTCCGGTGCACTGTGGGGTACCAGCCAGGGCAGGAAGCACCAGAAAGTGCAGTGAGGCTCAGGCAATGGCAAGCAGTTATGAGGAGGGTGAGGGCAGAGGATGGGGACTGTAGGGAGCTCATCTCAGGTGGGGTGGGGTTGGGAGTGGAGTGGGGAGAGCTTACAGTAAATGGCTCTGCTGCTAGGCCGGGACATGTTGACGTTGCTGAGCACGGCTCCCTAGAACTCAAGAGAACCAGAGACAGCCGTCAGAGCAGGGCAGAGGGCTGCTACTGCTCCGACCTGGGGCCTCTGGGATCAGACCCAGAGCCCTTGGCTTCAGTCAGCGTCTTCCCCTAGGAGCCCTCCATCCTGGTTGGGCTTGTAGGCCCTGGGCTAAGAAGGAAGGGCTTGAGCGACTACCAAATGGCTGGCCTTCCATTCTTTGGCTCTGGGACTGGATTCTACCCTGGGCCTGGATGTGAAAGATGCTACATGAATGAGCTGCACCCACTTCTGCAGGAACGGCAAAGGCTCAGTGGCTTTCCTTGCCACTGTAAAACTCTCTTATCTGGTCTATTTCAGTTTTGCAAATTGAGAGAAAGCTCCTGTTACCTGGTAAGAAGGGGACCCTTCCAGGAGGAAGGGGTGTGTGTGTGAGACAGAGAGAGAGAGAGAGAGAGAGAGAGAGAGAGAGAGAGAGAGAGAGAGAGATGGATTCTAGAGGACTTGTTATTGATCTGCACTTGCCAGAAGGTCTGACTAACGCCCCTGTCTCTTTGCCTTTGGTACTCCACATCCTCTCCCAGAGCCCATCCCCTTCTCAAATCCAGCTCACAGATCACCTCCCTGGTGAAGCCCTCCTTGACCACCACTCTGCCTGAGTGCCACCCAAATGCCATGCTGTGACTTGTATGTTCCTCTCTGATAACTATTGTCCCAGCAGTCCTGATGTTTAGTGCCCTGCGCCTGTTGCCGGGCTCCTCATGAACCCGCATCATTCAGTCTTTACCACCACCCAGCTTGTACTTGGCCCTAAGTTCTGGGCACTGTTCTTTACTTTCAGTAACATAATCATGGACTGGGTACCTTACCAGGTGAGGACTCCAGCAGTCAAAGAGGCTAACAGGCCTGGGGTTAAACAAGTGACTATTTAATAAAGAATGGACCCGGGCCTGGCTGACGACACTCCATGTTTTCATTGCTTATAAATGTGTCCCTTTCACTAGGCTGGCACTACAGCACAAATCTGTTTAGATGGAAGGGAATTAGATGTGGCAAGTGTGTATGTTGGGGTGGGGTAGGGGTCAGTTATGTGTGTGCGTCAAGGAGTGTGTGTTATCTGGGTGAACTGTGATGCATCACGGGTCTCTGTGTATCTGCGCGGTATGCCTGAGCTGTACAGAACCCTGGAATATCCCGGGCAAAGTGTAAGAGAGCACCCACACCCATTTATTAGGACTGTTAGGAAAATGACTGAAGATGAGTCGGGATGAGAAAATGAGTCACTAGTGAACAAGGAGAGGAGATGTAGGAGGTGGCTGGATCTCTGTTTGGGAGTGTACCTCCTCCCCAAGGGGAAGGAGTAATAGAAACCTGCCCCCCCACCCAGGCTGTGGGACTCACTTCCTGCTTCTAGATGCGGAAGAGAAAGGAATCCTATTCTGCTAGGCCCCTGTCTGCTCCCCGACACTAGGGTGATCCCTGTGGGTGAGTAGAGATGGGAAATCAGATGCCGCTGAAGACCCTGGACCCAGAAGAGGCAAGGTGGGGCAGCTGAGTTTGGTCTTCCTGGTCCCTTGGGCATGGAAAGCAGTGGCAGACCCCATTTTCCACCTAAATGTACGGGTTTGACAGAGGGAAGGGGAATTTATGTCACAGACACATGATCATCTGCCTCTGGGTGCAGCACACATGCCAACCCTCAGCTTCCTGAAAGCTCACCTGGCCCCTGACCACAGAACCCTGGCTCTCTGTGCCAGGGGCACGGAGAGATTGCCAGAACCCCTTACTACCCACTGGCCAGCCAGTGGCTAAGTCCTAAGCCCTTCTCTGGGGTTCATCCTCCTGAATCTGGAAAGGGGCTGGGCCAGGCCCTGATCTTCCCTGTGGACAGGCCCTTACCTGGGTACCAGTGAGGCCTGGTGAGTGGTCCCCCGAGGGGGCTGGTGTCTGAGCCTGTGGTCTGGTGGTCCGGTAGTCCAGTGGTGGTGGCCAGAGGGCAGCTGCTTGGCTTTCTTTGCCAGGTGCCTCAGGCAGAGTCCTGCTGGCAGTCAGGCAGGCTCTGAGGTGGTGCGGCTATGAAGGCAGCCACACCTGTGCCCTTTGGACTTAGGTAAATCAGGAGGCCTCCCAGGCCACCACCCACCCAACACTGAACTAGGCCTGAGGAAGTGTCTGTGCCGCCGCAAGCCTCTGCTTCCCAGCTTCCTCCTTGCTAGTCTTTTGCCTTGGGGGTGACCCCTGTTCCTCTGCTTTTGGGTACCTCCTCTGGGTCCTAGGGTCAACATCAGGCACGGGATTGCAGAGCAGGAAAAGGTGCCCATGCCATGGAGAGCCGGGCTTGGTGGTCAGGGGACAGGTCAGCTGGAGGTGGAACTGAACTTGCAGAAAGGTTGGTGTACATGCCATTTGTGCTGCACCCTTAGGCATGTGATCGTGTGTCAGGTTGTCTTTGTGAGCTGGACATGAGCCTGTCAGAGAAGAGGGGACCGTGCCAAAGACCACATGGGCATGGCACGGAGGGCTGAGGCTTTTCTCTCACAGGGCTGCTTTATTCTATCCTGTTTTCTGTCCCCTTCTGTCCCCTTCCACCCAGCAGGAAGCCCTCCCACCCATTCTCTTCACCCCCCATCTCCCCCCCCATCCCTGGTGGATGCCCAGTTGCCTTTAGCAAAGATGGGAGACCAGACTTCCCTCTGATCCTATTCAAGAACCTACCCAGGTGACCAGGTGCTGGTGGCTCACACCTGTAATCCCAGCTATTTGAGAGGCTGAGATAGTAAGGATCAAATTTCCAGACCCACCTGGGGAAATAGCAGAGCTGTGACTCAAGTGTAGAGCGCCTGCTTTGCAAGCATGAAGTCCTGAGTTCAAACCTCAGTCCCACCAAAACAAACAAACAAACAAACAAACAAAAAAACCCTACGCAGTCCCTATTTAGAAGCCTCCTTTTACACCCAGGGCACGTCAGGCTCCTTGCCTTCTGGGAACTCACAGCCTAATGAGGGAGGTTGGGCATAAACAGAAAGCAAAGGAACAAGTTGAGTAGGGGAGGAGAGGGGAAATACCTGTGTGGGCATTGATTCTGGGGCATAGAGGTTTAGGCCCTGCTTTTACTAGGATCTGTGATGGACAGTCCTGCAGAATCAACAACAGCCTGCCCTCCCATCCTTGGCTTTGCTGAGACCAGTTAGGGAATCTTGGCCTGCTTTTCCACCCCCACTCAGTCAACACTGCTCTGATGGCCTGGAGTACCCAGTGCAGGGTCTCCCCCACCTGAGTTGGTATAGGCCCCTGGGAGAGTCCATCAAGCAGCCAACTTGTGGGGCCCAGAGGTCAGGTGCCTGTTGTGCCCACGCCTAGCTATAACCCCGTGGGAACCAGCCCTCTTGTTCTCCCTGGATGTCCTGTTCCCTGGATCTCAGCCTGTTGGACCTCCTTTTGGGGTAGGACAGTCTGAACTTTGTTGCCTCCCCCAGTCTCAGCCCCAACTCTATCTAGGCCATAGCCACATTCTACTCTTAGCTTGGGCCTGGGTGTCCAGCCAAGATCTCATTTCTGCCCAGCTCAGGTCAGGCCCCAACCTTCCCTCAGGCCTCTCCCCAAGGTAGTGGGAGCATAGCAGGGAATCTCACGGGGCAGGATGGGGACAGGGCTCAACCCACTGCAGAGATCCACCTTTGGATAGAGAAACAGTGAGTGCCACCTGGCACTCTTCACATCTTGTTCTCTGCAGTGTCCCTGTGTGCCCTGGAGCCTGAGGCCCTCAGGCAGGAGCCCTTTGTAGCAGAGTGGACAGGGGGATAGGGCTTTTTGGACAGGCATTGTGGATGTCTGCTGGAGTGAAGCCTCCCTAGGGAAGAGGGGTGTTAGGGAGGATGGAGAGGCCAGGCCACTCACACTTGAGGGGTTGGCAATAGATACTTCTGCTCTACAACAGCTCCAGGTACCCAAGTGATTCCTGCTGAAGCATGAGACTGGGACTAGGGTCAGAGAGACAGGGAGCAGAAATCAGAGAGGAAGTTCCTGAAATTGCTGAGCACCTCATTCCTCCCTTCCTCCCTCCCTCCCTTCCTTCCCCAGCTTCCTGTGCAGTTCAGGGCTTCCTCCTGAGAGGTATTGTATTAGATGTTACGATACACCTGAAGGACCACAGTCATCTGAGAATGCAGCCTGAGTTCATTATCTCCCTCCAAATAACTCCAGTCCTTCTTCTACGTTCCTGTCTCAGTGAAGGAACTACCCAACAGCATGTCTCACTGTGAGTGTGTGTGTGGGGGGTGGGAATGGCAGAACAGGTCTCCATGTCCAATCCATCACCCCGCTGTGGGTCCCACTGTCTCAGCACCTTATATTACAGATCTACCCTTTTGCCCCCTGTGACTGCCTTCTTCGGGCTCTGTCCAGCTCTCTGCCTATGCATGCACAATGGTCCCCTAACCCATCTCTCTACCTTCACCTTTGATTTTATTAATCCTCCCTCTTGGCTTTGGATGGGGGTCTTCCTTGACTGAAAATTCATCCACTCCTCTGCCATTGGCCCTCGGGATGAAATCCCAACTCCCATCATGACAGGCGAGGTCCTTCATCAACTCCTGGCTTCTGCCTCTGAAACTGCCTTATCTTCCTCCACTCCCTGTCCGTTGTACTTTACACTCAGCTTAGAGGTTGACGTAATTCCATTCAAGCCATTCCTTGGCACCTGGCCAGCCACTCTCTGTACTTCAAGTCTTCATATCCACTCTGTCTCCTTTGAAGTCTTCCTGCTGTCCAGGGCTGTGGGGACTCTGGCCTTTGGCTTCCAGACAAACATCTACTTCCCATGTCCCTCCATTACTGCCCGCATCACATTGTCCCCATCCTGAGATGTCCCCATCCCTGGGGACCCGGATGGTTTTTGCCACTCTCTGGAGAAGAGAAAGACTTGTAAACAAATAAATACACCATGATATTACTGGCACAAAGAGTCATGCTCTCCTTGGGGGCATCAGGGA